TCTGTCGGCTGATATGATTGGACATCCCTCGGTCTTATTTCTCAAAAATTAAATTTAAAAATTAAAAAAATTAAAAAAGTTTTTAAATTTAGAAAATACTTTTAGAAAAATTATAAATACTGTAATACTCATTATTTATTTTCCAGAGTCACAGGGAGCCGCGACAGAGCAGCGGGTCGTCGACCCCTACTCTATATCGAACATTTTATGGGATTAAGTGAAGAATGTGACTCAGATGTTAATACAAACACAGTGAGTGAATTATTTTTGCAGCCTTTCATGACCTGTCATATCATTCACCATCACATGAGAACCCGACAGGGCAAACGAGGTGATGGACAAATACATGAACAGTTTATACAACATTCAAATGAAGGGACTGCTGAAAATGACTTCTTTTTTTTCTTTTTTTAAGTTATTTTTAAAATTACTTTGTTGTTTATTGCATTGACAGCATTAATGTCCTTTTTTCACACCAATAACGACAGCATTGACAGCATTAATATGTCCTTTTTTCACACCAATAACGACACAATTAAAACTAAAACTACATTTTCAGGCGTATGACGTCAGAATAGTGATCGAATCTATTGAGTTGTTGAACGTCTTTCCACACGTTTGAGTCGATGTTTACTCACCGCCGCCGTTCTTGTAACACAGATAAGGAAACCTCCAGACGTTTCCGAGTCCAATCACAGCACCCACCACAGACAAGATGAACTCCTTTTTACTGCCCCACTTGCCCCGCTCCCGGGCACTTTTGGAGCCGCCGGACTGTGCAGGGCTGCAGCCCATCCTGAGCTTTGTGTCTTCCATGCTGCGGAGAGAGAAGTCACACCAGGGCAACACTGGCAGCGAGACTTGATATATGGCTGCAAGTTGTAACAAAAGCCACTAGGGGGACCCCTAAATATCCCAAATGTGATATGGCAACGTGGACACAGAGATATATTAAGTAATAATGAGCAGCAGAAAAAAAAAATATTTGAGAGTTTACGAAACGGGGGCCGGGTTTCTTTTTCTTTTTCTTTTTTTTTTTTTAAACTTTTTAAGGTGTGGCAACATGTGGTAAAGTACATGTACTGATTTATCCCAGGGTGATGACAAAAAGTTGGCAGAAGTACAGCATGTGTACTACATAAGTATTTTGATTCATATAATTTGAAGATAAAATTAACTTCTAAAATATGTGTGGGTTTTTTTCTTCATTAAAAATATTCCATAAACATCCCTACAACCCTACAAACTTCCTACTGTGGAATCCCTACGTTCAAAAATTGATCCTTCAAAATAGACCTGTAACCTGACTTGCCACTAGAGGGCACGTTGCATAATTTTTTACTCTTACACAAGTGAGAGCCTGTTCTGGTCAACCGGTCAACGCTGTGTGTCTAACTCCGGTGTGTGGCTGCAGTAGCTT